GTAAGATGTTTCTTCATTTTCATTTGTTTCCAGGTATCTTTTGATCTCTGTTTTGATTTCATCATTGACCCAGGAGTTTTTTAGCATCATGCTGTTTAGTGTCCATGTTTTTGTGGGTTTTGGAGGGATCTTGTTGGTGTTAATGTTTATTTTTATTCCACTGTGGTCCGAGAAGGTGCATGGTAGAATTTCGGTTCTTTTAAATTTGCTTATGCTTGATTTATGGCCAATTATGTGGTCGATCTTAGAATACGTTCCATGCAGTGATGAGTAGAATGGGTATTCGGTGGTCTTTGGATGGATGTTCTGTAGGTATCAATTAAGTCCATTTGGTCCAGAGTCACATTGAGGTTCCGGATCTCCTTCCTGATTTTTTGTCCTGATGATCTGTCTAGGGTTTTGAGTGGGGTATTAAAGTCCCCGGTTATGATGGTGTTAGAGTCAATATCTTTCTTTAGTTTTCCTAAAAGTTGCTTTATGAAATTTGGCACACCTATGTTGGGGGCATATATGTTTAGGATAGATATTTCTTGTTGATGGAGTAAACCTTTTATCATTATGTAGTGGCCCTCTGTATCTTTTCTAATTTTTGATAGCTTAAATGATATCTTGTCTGAAATTAGGATTGCGACCCCTCCTTTCTTTTGTGTTCCATTCACCTGAAAATTTGTTTCCCATCCTCTTACTTTGAGTCTGTGTATGTCCTTTCTAGTGAGATGGGTCTCTTGAAGGCAGTATATTGTTGCCTGGTGATATTTTATCCATTTTGCCATTCTATGTCTTTTCAGTGGTGCGTTTAGTCCATTCACATTCAGGCTAATTATTGAAATGTGAGAGTTCGTCCCTATCACAGAGTTCTTATAGAGTTGTTGTTCTTCCACTTGATTTTTTGTCTCTCTTTTAGTTTTGTGGTTGGTTCATGTATATTTAATTCTTTTTCCCATACTCTTGTGAAGAACGTTGTTGTTTTTTCCTTTTCTTCTGTGTTTAGTACTTTCTTAAGTGTTTCATGTAGAGGTGGTTTGGTGGCAGCATAAGTTTTTAGGGATTGGATATCTGGGAAAGATTTTAATTCTCCCTCGCTGATGAAGCTTAGCTTGGCAGGGTAGGTTATTCTTGGTTGAAATTGTTTATCTTTTAGGACTTTGAAGATAGGGTTCCAAGCTCTCCTAGCCTGCAGGGTTTCTGTAGATAAATCTGCTG